AACCAGCACAATGAGCACTTAAAGTGCTTTCTTTTTTGATCAGTTCTCAGGTATTTTAGCAAACTAGATTTTACAGTATCATCTTTAGGTCTTTCAACATATGTAGGAAAATATGCCAAATGTCTGCATCATAACATAACCATGTGTCTAGGGCTCTCTGTGGAGGAACAGCTTTGATGTGCTAGGGGTTGAAGGAGAACTCTCAAATGAGCACTTTGAGTGTCCAGACCTCTTACTTTCCTCCAGAGCTTTAATTTAACAGCTTCAAAACTAGCTCCTTTCCTGACTTTCCACATTGTGATGTCATTCATTCATTCCCTTTCCAAAAGTGTATATATGAACTTCTTTCTTGACTTTCCCATCTAGCCCTGCAGTGAGTACAGGAGGCAGCTTGGGGAAGTGGAGTCAGACCGTGGTGTGGATGGGTTGGCTTTGCAAGATTAGAATGTCCATGAGTGATGTGACATGGAACCCCCCAAGGCTGGTGCCTTTGTCTGGGGATACTCTGTTCCTCCAGAGCTGGGATAAGATGTACAAATCACAAGGCTTTTTGCAAGTGAAGGTGGTAGCTCTGTGCACTTTGCATTTTCTTGTCTCATGGTCTGCTTTTTATTCCTGGCTAATGCAGAGTGATCTAAAACCCTAGGAACTGGCTGTAGGTTAGGTAAGAGCTGCCTTGTGAGTTGGAAGGCTCCCTTTTTCCCATGGAAGTGCTGGGTGAAGAGAAGCTGCATTTCATTGCTGCCTTTGTCAGATGGCAGGCTGAGCTCACAGGTTGGGGTCTCTCATGACAATTCATACACGGGATTTAAATCATTGTCGTGTTCATAATTTGATGGCTGGTATAGCCTGGACTGATGGCTTCGTGTATTATCTCTGAAGTGATAATGTTCAGGTATTAGCAGGTTCTCTTACAACCTCTCTAAACCCTCTTAATAAATTACTCTCATACACGCTGTAATCTGGCTGTACCGCAGGCTTCCCTACAGGAAACAAGCATTTCTGCTGGACACCGTGTTGTCCCAAGGCTGAGCTTCCAAAACGCCTTTTTGATTTCAGAGTGGCACCATGCCCTCCATGTTACCTGGAAAATGCAAACACATAGGTGTTCCCACACCTTGTGTGTATGTTCATCTGTCCCCGGGCAGAGGCACCTCACTAGATGGCAGCAGCACCCCAGCTTTATGAAGTAGCCTCTGGGCATCCTTCCCTTCCCCCAGACTGCTACTGTCTACAGCAGTCAGGTAAAAAAAGAGGAAAAAAAGAAAAAAAAAAAAGAAAGAAAAATCCAATACAATCCTTCTGCTATAGAGGGCTTGAATGGAAAAGCTGTGGTATGCTGAATTCTAAGCTTCATCATATCTCTCTGTTATGCACATATATATACACACATACATATACATATACATATACATATACATATATTTGTATCCATGTGCAAATGTGGATATATATATACATGTATGTGTGTGCATGTGTGTATGTTTATGTCTAGGCTTTTCTTATAATTAGGAAGCTTGTAGCTGAGACGGACTCTCCTAGAGTCATAGGAAAGGGAGAGTCAGAGCTGGGACGGGCCACCTTTTGGCTTGCCATCTCCCCAGTGGCGGCCCCCAGTGTCCTTTGTCATAGGCTTCTGCACTGCAGTGCAGGCAGGTATGGCTGACTCTCTCCTCTCACACAGATCTGAAGGAATCAGTCAGCCAGGAATGGGCCTCCCTGCCTGCTCTGCTGATGACACCATGTGGTAGCAACATTTGGTAAAGGAAAGCAGCTGCTTTTTTTGGAAGATGCTAAAATTTGGTGGTGATTTTCTTTCTCAAAACCCCCCCAGCCAGTTTCCTGGACTGGTTCACAGACTGTCACAGCTGCAGCCAATTTCTTCTGTTATAGGGTGGTTCAGCTAGTTAATAAATATCATGCCATACATTTCATTGACCCCAGGATTAACCGTCACATCAGTGTAAGAGAATGTCACTTTTCCTGCCAGCTGCTGGCCATGTCCTCATCCTCTCTGTGGGCAGTCACATATGGTAAGTGTGATGTCCTGAACCTTCTGCAGCAGACAAGTGCATGCAGGAGTGCATGCATCAGGGAAAACACAGAGGTTTGAAAGAAAAATGTTCTTGTGTTTGCTTGGCGGGGGGATGCAAGCGCTGGAGGTTGAACATGGCAGGAAGGAAAGAGAGGAAAAGAATTTCTCCAAATGAGTCTGTTGGTCTCTGTCATTCAATATAGATAAAAAATATAACTTTGGACAGGAAGTATGAAAAACCATTTCAGCTCCCAGGGTTGCATGTAGCCCTCTACTCATGTGTGTCTGTAAGTCTAAAGAGATTGGGTGAGTGCTACCAAGTTTTGGAAAAAGCTACATCTGAAATTTGAAAACAGAAACTTTTGGTGACTATAGTTTTTACCTAAGTGTTATGTATTTGAAGCTAAGGAGGTATAGTGCTGGGCCAGTGAATCAGGGTTGTTTTCTATCTGTAACTTGTCACCAAGCTACCCAAGATCAGCTAATCCTGCTCGTGTGAAGCATGAGAGAAACTAGAAAAGGGCAATAGCTTGGAGAATACCACTCTTGACAGACAACACCCGTATGGGTAGACAAAAATTAAGAAATTGCAGAGGCCTTGCAGCACAGCATGGCCTCTTTTAGAATGAAGATCTTTTGGGACACTCTGGCTCGGAGCAGTCCCTTGTCTGTGTGAGGCTGAGGTTGCTGTGCTGAGGCACGAGGCTGCCTTGCTACCCACAGTGCCGCTGCCTGCGCTGTCCTGCTGCTTGGCAGCAATACCCAGCAGCTCCATCAGGAAATTGTGTTTCCCCAGAGCCTCTTAGGGCCCAAAGCCAGTGGGTTTATATTTGGCTTGGACTAATTCTTACCTTTTAACTTGGTAGCTGCAGTAGTGACAGTGCACTTTTATTTGGGTACAGGCATAGAGAAGTATAAAGCCTTTTTTTTTGGTAATATAAATGTATTGTATGCATCTTGCACACACCACTAACCTCCAAGTTCTCTACTAGACATTCAACTGAACATAACTTGTGCCCACAGAAGAGTATATGCATGATACTCACTGGTGTCAGTGGTTAATTAAAGGTCAGAACTAAAGAACTGCAATTGTGCTTTTTCACCATGTTTTAGAAAATTAAATATGCTTTACATACCACTCTCTGCCCATGGGTTCTGTCTCTACTGAAAGCATAACTGGTAGTTAAACAGCAGGTATTATACCTAAAACTGTGCTTGCATTTCTATGGCATCACATTTTAGCTGAGGTGAAGAAGGTCAAGTTTTCTGGAAACACTGATTACAATTTTTAAGATCAATTCCAAATTAGCATAGATTATGATTTATTGATTATGACAAAATTTCTCTTTGACTAAAATGTCTATAATATCTGGGATATTTTCAGATTCTCTGACAATGAGATTGATTGCATATGATCCGTTGCTGTGAGCAGGTTGTACAAGTTTGTTTAAAGTATGCTAGTTGAATATAGCATAATTTAAACATACTTTCCAGTTTAAGGTTGGAAAAATTCCTGCCTCTGATATAGTTTGACAACGGATAGGGATTGTTGTCCATGATGCAAGGCAAAATGTCCCTATCCAGGATAGCAATTACCTTAAGATCTAGGCTGATAATTATGTCATGTTTTATCATGACTTTATGATTCAATATCTACCTGATGTACTGGTTACTACCAACAGATGCACTTGTATCACAGAATGAAAATCTCTCTTCTCTTACAGGAAGCAGTGCCTAGAAGAGTCAGTTATTCTATTTGCACTTATTGAAAGATCACACTTATAGAGGATGGTTAAACGCTTGCTAAAACATCCAAAAATCTGAAAAAAGTACAGATCACTTAATCTTGGGGACATCATCTTCCCTACATAGAAGTATCTCTTGGTTATCCAGCATTGTTTGAGAGTTTGTAGAAGTTTAAGGGTTATCTAGTGCCCTTCAATTAATCCACATGACATTTTACCAGCTGAGACAGTGTTTCTTGTCATGATTAGACAAAACAGTCTGTGATGTATAAGACTGCATGGTTACTCTCACAATTTCACACGGCAAAGAAGCTGGGACACATGTTGTGTGTTGATAGGCACTGGAAAAAGCAGAGAAGTCTCTCCTGGCAACTTGTGCTGCTGATATGAAAATGGCAAGGAATCCTGGAAACTTTCCCAAAACTTCTTGTTTATAGATTGTGACAACATGGGGATTCCTTTAGCCCTGGGCTGTGTCTCTGTCACTTGTTCTTTGCCAGAAGGCACTGGTTAGTGTCTCCCCAGAATGACTCTTTCCACGTCTTGGACCTTGGTGGTTTTATCCTTCAAAAGACTTTAACAGGTTGGTGAGAAACACATCCCAGCTGCTAAGACACTCCAAATTTGTCTTGGTTTCTCAGCACCAAAGGGATTTTTCTGTAACAGTGCATTAATAATACTTTTTTTTCAGCATTTCCAGGAAAGAAAGGTGCCTTGGCATTTCTTGAAATCTTCCTCAAAAAACAGTAAAAAATTTGTTAGTTTGTTTCTTTTGGGCTTTTTTCTTTTTCTGTTTTGTTTTTAAAAAAGGGTACATCAAGTACATCAAAGGAGTGAACTCCTGATTCAAAGTTTGGAAACTCAGCTATAAGTGAACACTATTAAGAACAGGAAGATGAAGACTCAGCAAGTACCTCATGAATCTCCTGTTCCTGCTTGCTCTGAGCAGTCCCTTCAGGGCATCTCTCAGCTTCAAAACTCAAAGGCACACCACAGCACTGCTGGTCGCTCTCCAGGACTGCCCATAGCAGCATGATGCTTTGAGGCACGGCCCCACTGTAGGGTTTTGAGGACATCTCTGCTTCAAATGTGCTCTCTTAGATGCATGACACTAGTTTGAAAGCTAAAAGTCAAATCCCCCTAGAATCACATTGCTTAGATTTGAGGTCTTGCTGGAGATACATTTTTTTTAAGATGGCTCATGTTCCTTTTTCTCTCAGCCCCATGAGGGATGTCGTCTGAGACCTGCTAATCTCGCAAGGAGGAGAGCATGGATGTGGGGCTCAAAGGTGCGGGTGGCATCACAATCTCACAGGAACCTACAGGCAATCTGCGAAAAAAACACGAGGACCTCAAAGTCCCAGCAGGAAATCATAGCTATGTAAAGAAACAAAATAGAAAGTCAGAGTTTGCTTAGGAAGGACTGACTGACAGAAATTAAGGAAATGAGGTGTGAATAAAAGGATGCCTATACCAAAAGAGTACAAGAGCTGAGGAAAAATAGTCCTCTTGATAGCCTCAATGTCATGACAAAAAGAGAAAACAGGGATATTTTAATGAGGAGTAATTTACTGTTAATATATAATAAAACAAGGGAATTTCTATCACAGAAGAAGGATCAGATGGATGTGGATTAAATCTAGCAAAGTTATTCAATATCTGACTGTCAACAGGGATTTTTTAACTACCTGTCAGGGACTGACTGCAGCTGAACAGAAGGGATTGTCCAAAATTTTATCAGACTGTGTTGGAATAATTTTTTTTGTATGGATGGAGAACAAATGAATTAATGGGGACCTCTACAGAATTTGATTCTGACAAGAAAATCTTGCAGAAAATGTGAAGAAGAAAGGCAGCAATTAGGAAAGGATGGTTAAATAAAATCAATTCCAATTAAGTAGACTTCAATAAATTGATGATTTTGATTTCTGTTAGATTTTGGGAAAACTGTCTAACAACGAAGATGGTTAAGTAAAGAGGTAGAGTGCCAAGGAGAGTGCCCATTGCTGGGAGTTTTGAGTGGATGAGAAAGCTGGGTTAAGGGTCTAGTAATCTTGTGCTGAAGTAGAGGTTGCCCACTTGTGGTATCTTCTGTGCCCCACTTTGATGATCTGATGATAAAGAGATCAGATAAAGAGGTTATTGAGTTTATAACATAAGTCATATCCTGTTTATGCCTAATTGACTGTAATGATATTCTGTAGTCCTGTGAATGTAACTATCTGCTTTTTAAAACATTTGGAATTGTCAGATTGCATGAAAAGCACCATTAGCATGCAAGTTGCTCCCTCACAATAAACACTATTTAAAAAAGTAGTAAAGTTGCCAATATTTTATTTGATATCCCTAAATTTTTTTTTTCCCCACTGTACTCACCAACTGTTGTTTTTCAGACCATATTTGATGAGAGACAAGTCTATATTAATGTATTTGTATTTAGGAAGAGATAAATCCATATTAAAGCAGTTGAAGAAAAGTGCACAACATATTAAGTGAACACCACAAAAAGTGGCCCAGAATAGTATGGAAATGCCTGACAAATGTGAGTCTGCCAACATGGAAGAACACTTTTAATGCATTATTTATAGCTATTGCTTTACCACAAGCCATTGAGATCAAGGTCACCCAGTGGACTTCTGGGCAATGGGTCAAGACTTGAGAGGCAATATTGATAACAGCAGCTGACAGTTTCTTGGATACAGCTGGTATTTTTCTAAGCAGCAGCATTTTCTAACTTCTCAGGAACAATGGAAATCTGTTTGCTGTGAAACTGCTCATGTCTGTCTTGGTCACAACTCATTAATTGTGGTCAGTCCCAGGCTTGGTGTAACTGCTCTCCCTCCTCCCTGCATCTTCCCCTCAAGTAAATGCATCTAATACAACAGTTCTAGGTGGGGTTTTATTTTTTTGTTTTGTTTTTAAGTTTCGCAGACTGTTTTTCCCCTCTCCTTGTTTTCTGCCAGTCAAATTTTCTACTATTTCGAAGTCCCAGAGCTGAATCCTTTCAGTGCGCTGGGAACAATAATAACAAGATGTATTCTGTGACAGAGGAAAACATAAATAGTATTTGTGACTCTCAACATAAGATTTCTCTGTCTGGTTTTAAAAGTTTCTGTCCCTTTTTGACCTATTCTTCATGATTTTCATGACTTTTGTAGTTTTATTTTGGTTTAGTGTGATTTTATGTTGGGTTTGGATTTTTTTCTTGTGTATGGGGTTTGCTTTTTTTTCCTGATGCTATTAAACATAATTTCTTCTCAGGGGAAGTTGGAAGGAAAAGTCACTTTGATCTCTTTAGCCAAATCACATTCTTATTTAGCAATCTAAGTCACATTTCAAGGTGAGCTGTGATGTTTTTTCCCTCAAAATGCTTTTGCCTGGCAAGGACTCCTGACCATGTAGAACTTTTCCTCAGTCTTCTTGCTTAGAGACTCTTAACTTCTTCCTGACCTGCTCCCGTTCCTTCAAGTATTGCTTCCTTTTGCATTCCTAATGCCTTGGTTTACAGTCTAAACCAGTTAGCAAACTGCTGATGGAAGAAGGCTTGATTAACATTTTATTAAAGTTTTTTTTTTTTGTTTTGTAATTTCTTTTCTGTGTTTTCTATTTTACAGTTACAATTTCAGTGACATTAAACTAAACATGTTTATATGTGCATCTCATATTGGATAATACACCTTCCTTTCTAGAACAATCTGTCAGCTTTTTTAGCATGAATAATGATTTCCATTGAGAAAATAAGCAGCAAATACAGGTGACCTCTTTTCCAGAAGTGACTAATATGTATAGATAGTGTTAATTTTCTTCTGAGAGACCAGACTGCAAACTAGCTCAATGTCTAATAGAAGAAGGAAAAAATGTTGAAAATAAATTACCTCTTATAATCCCCATATTTCTTTAAGAGACTTTGGAAGGACTTCATTCAAAGTAAGCAATAATCCCTAAGAACAACCAGAGCGAGGTGAAAATTGATGGATTCTCTCTGTACATGCTTTAATCACTTGGAAAAAAATACAAGATTGTACAAAGAAAGCTAAAATCTGGGCACTGCATCTGCCAGAGTTACTGAGTTTCCATTAGCTGCCAGACATTGTGGCATATTTTGCTCCAAGTGATGGTGGTGTAAATTATTCTTATTGAAATTGAAGGAGTTGCACTGAAATTAATCTAACATAATCTAGTGCAGACTTCCTCCCCTTCCTTTTCTGAAGCAATTTGGTTCACATAATGTATATACAATAATTAATTTAAACTAAGATGAAATAGGCCATTTATCCTTGAAAGGATTTGGCATTTGAAGACTTCTAGTCCAATTTTCAGGAAGATGTCTGTTTATACAGAAAAGCCAGTTGCAAAAATAAGCTAGGGAAGCAGAAAAAAGAGGAGAAACTCTACCAACTGTACTTTGAATACTTGTTTTCTAAAAGTTTGAAACATAATTTTTTTTTTTGAAATATTTGATACTGAATAATTTCCCTGTATTAGTTAAAAAAAAAAATAAAAATCTTTGGTACTCCATTATGTAGGACATGCTCAAAGAGACAAAAATACCATGCTTATATAATCTGTAGGCACTGGTGTGTGTTGTGATACTCATCAATCAACGATTTTTTATTGCTGCAAATAAAATCAATATTTGCCACTTGTAAAATGTGGCTTCTAGTCCAATATTTACATCAGTTTCAATGGCTAGTGGCCACGTGCGTGTCTACTGTTTACTGGGGCAGTGAGGATCTGAGATTGCCTGTGAGGAGCGAAGCATTGACCATTTTGGTGCCACTGGGTTTCACTGGGCATTTACTGCAGGGCCACTTCAGTGTCAATGATGAGACAAGGGTGAGTGCAGCCATAGCTGTTGGGTCTAGTTCCCTGGCTCTGGTCATGAAGGAACAGGGCTGGCTTCCACAGACCCTCTTGAGTGTGTTTGCAGCAGTCCCCACCTTCTGGTGTAGGGCCTGTTTGATTTGGCACAATGTAAATGCACAGAGTTGGCCCCGGCTAGGACCAGCCAAAGGCACACAGGTTGTGTGGAAATACTGCATTCTGGGGTGTGCAAACAGAACCGCTGGTGGCATCAGCCTGGATCCCACGTGCCCGGCGATCCTACGTGGTTTACACCCTGGTGCACACTCAGCACGTCTCTTCACTGTTCTCTCTGCTTAGGGTATGCAATGGGAAGACACAAGCCCTGGTTCTGCGTGGGCATAGCCGGCACAGAGTGGTATATATCTGTTCTGCTGTGATGCTGACCAAAACTGCTGTGATTTCTGCAGAATTGACCTGGCCTGTGAGCCAATCACACCTGCAAATCTGACCAGGTGAAGGTGCCTCTGTAGCTGGGATGTGAGGATCCAGCTGCTGGTAAGCAGGACTTAATTGTGTCATCTGCTAAAGTATAAATGTCCAATCCAGGAATTGCTTAACAAAATGTGTCTTAAAGTGGCAGGTGAGGGGTAATGATGAGTAATATCTGACATCATCAGGTAGGACATTATGCCAACACTGATGACATATGGTCTCAGAGACAAATCCTGGTTTTCCACCCACACCTGTTTCAGGAGATTCATCATCTGAAATCAAGGATTGTTTCTGCAGCGTTTCTTTCCTGTATCACATAGAAATAAAGGGTCTGTGAGACAGATGGCACCAATCCAAATATTTCTTTTCCTGTTGCTTTCACAAGGGATTTCATTCCTAAAATTATGAGACTTGAAACCTTGTTGGCAAAGAAAAGGTGAACCTTTTCAGCTGCTTATTTACAACACCAAATAGGAACATATTCCTTTGCCCAGTGTTTAAAATAACCTTGCTCAATTTAATTTTTGTTTTTGATCTTGCTCTGATGTTTGTATGAATTTTTCGATTTAATTTGGAAAACGTAGTGATCAGTCAGGAATGTATAGTGAATTTGCTGATTTTTATGAGAAGAAGTATTAAATGTCCCTTCATCGTTTGCAAGGTGGTTCTCCTTTTTCCTGCCTACTGTGAGCTTGCCAAGTATCTCTGCTAAACACTATGAGGGAAAAACACTCAGGCTAATTTTCAGTTTCTTTTGCTTTAATGGATTTTATACAGTTTGCTGGATATACTTACTTTTTAATAATGAAGTATTTCTTAAACAAAATCATGTATATAAAAATAAATCCAAGTTATCTACTAAAACCTGAAATTTAATTATTATATTAAAGCTAAAAGCATAAGCCTTACTTTCCAAACTCTCTGGAGCTGTGCTCAGCTGTGTGTTGCTGTGTGGAAGAAGACTCAGCATTAAATTGCATTTATGCCTCTCTAATCCCAGGGCTAATGGAAACTGTGTTGGTTCCTGGCCACTTTGCTTGCAGTAATCTCTGAGCCTTACAGTTATTTATGACTCCCAGGAGGTTAATGTAGAGAGATGTAGTATTACTAAGGTGTGGACTCCCTCTGGCTACAGTTACTTCCCCTTGGTAATGCTTCTTACTGTAAAGGTTAAAAGAAAAATTTTATGTTGCTCAAAAAATTTTATGTTGCTTTATGTGTGCAAGGTGAAGTGTTCTCCAGCTGAGCTGGATGCCTTGAGCTCCTGGCGAAGCACAGAGCACCTGGGACAGTGGGATTGATATTAATGCCCTGTGGCACAGCTACATGTATTAACTGAACATGAAAAGTGTTGTTGGACTCATGTTTTGAGTGGGAGACCTTGGTGAGAATTCCAGATGGGATCTAGGTCTTGTGGGAAGTTGAAGTAAATGCTACCAGAAAGAGCAGCATAGTGGCTGACGGATGCTGAAGTGTGTCCCTGAAATATGCAGGTAGAGTGACTGCAGCTCCAGGAGATGATCTTAAGGACAGGTTGTCATTTGAACATGCAACATTGTGGAGTCATTCCTTCTTTCCCTTTTTTAAGGTCCGCCTTCCATCATCTTTGCTTCAAGATATCTCAAATACTGTTGTTACACCAACATAATTAAAAGAGGTGAAAGTCATAAACTTAAGAAAGGGGAAGGGCAGTTAAGTCTAGACTAAGTGTTTGATCACAAAACAGAGCTCAGGTTTATAGTCCAAGTTTTAGTGTAGCCTTATTGGTCTACCTGTAATCAGAGGACATGATTCATTCCTATGTCAAGACAGATTACACTTGCTATACTGTATGTTCTCATGTGCCTTGTCCTCTCTATATGCAAATACCTTGAATGACGGTATTTCCATCTATACCACCTAGAGACCATTCTGTGGTCTGATATGTTGTATTGTTGATGCATATATTTTCCTTACTAACTGT